CGTAATACTTGGTGATATTGTTGTTGTTTCACCTGTCGCGCTCCTTTTTTCGAGTTCCATTTGTACTTGTCACGCAGTGTCAAAAACACGCGGGGGATGAAATTTCTGCCACGTTCTTCGTTCCATCCGAGAACGGACATCTGTTTTAATTTTCATCCCGAGCCCCTTTGGTTCTTTCTTTTTTTTTTTCGTTTTTATTTATTTCCTCAATTTCAAACATTCTCTCTCAAATGCAGACAGAGGTACAAAAGTTGTTTGCTAGATTCGACGTCGACGTACGTGATTTTTAGGAAAAACGACAAATAATGCAAGAATTGTACAATGTACCATATTTTTCAAAATTATTTTTTATTCGGAATAATAATTTTTATTCCAGCATCGAAGATACGCATGCAGTTTTTATCGATAAAACGTAAACGATAAAATCAATGATTCATGATAAATGATTTGTCATTATTTGTCGGTAATTCTAAGCGTATTATTCACAAGTGAATACGTTTCCGGATTTGCAACACGTATTCTACGTGCTGTGATATGTAATTTTATGACAATTTCTCGTTTTCCTCTAGAATGGGTATCATAATCGATACAATCTCGATGATACACCCCAGTGGACGCGTTGTATACGAAATTGTCTCCACGACGATATATGTAGTATTAGGCCTTATACCCGATTCAAGGGTTGACATTTCGCTCCAGGTCACCGATTCGATCCGCTTAATAATAATATTTTTGAAGAAACATTTTCGAGAATCGTGGCAAACATTTTTGTAGTAAAATCATGGCCATACAATACTGTATTATAAAACAACATAAAAATCAAATAATGACAATGGAAATTAATTATTTATCTCTTTTTAAATATTCCATAGTCGACAATATATTGTATATATAATTACACATCTAAAGTAAAATATTTTGAGAAATGGAAAAACATTCAATCATTTTACACGTGACATTTTCGTGCGCTTAATTATATTGACTTGTGCTCATATCAAAGTACCATTTCATTTGACATCATTGCTATTCTTGCCGGACAGTTGCAACAAAAGACAGTGAATTACAGTAATTGCGTTACCTTATTCCTCGTTCAACGCTGCTCTTTTCAATTTTTGCGAGGATTTCCGTAGTTCGATGGCGTCACCATTAAACTTACTTTTCTTCGGCGAGAGCGATAAATTGGCACAGCCGATGAGAAACTGCCGGCGAAAGACGGATATTGAAATCGTCATATTTTCATTCGCAAAAAGTTCAAATGCGAATATATCTTTCGCGCGGAGAAAAGTCATTCATCCGTAAGACGGTGGGCTCCGGAAATGATCCGCGGCGCACAAACTTCGAATTCTCCGATCCCTATCAAATTGACGTATTGACAGTGTCAATGTTATCCCGCCAAGACTCACCATTTATTATAAGACTCATTCGTATTTGAATACGTGTATATGTATATTTATATATAGTACAGCATTTTGTAGTACGACGACGAGAAGGTATTTTATATATACGCCGGAAGATATTCTTTTTTTTACACGAGAGACGCCAATAACACACGTAAGCCATAAAACATTTTACTGCGCCAATGAAATCCGTACTCAAAGTAAAAATTTTCGCTTTTGTTTAGTATCGCGCGATTTCGATCTCGCAATAAATCACGATTAAACATAACGTCCTTCGATGCGAGATTTCTTCCGTTTTCTGGAACAACCGAGTCGGCCGGGAGATTTATAAAAAATTTCTCTCGCTTCGAAAGTCGGAAAAAAGGACTTGCGCGCACATAACGCTCGTAAATTACGGTTTATGAGTTACATCTCCTAGCGCGCGTTTCCCCTTTTGTTTTTGATTAACGTTTTAAAATGCGCAACGCGCGCACCGCCGCGCAAATTGCAGTCAGAGAGGATCAAGGCGGCCGGGAAGGCCGCCAAACAGGCCAAGTCGATAAAATTGGACGTGAAGAACGTGTCCAGCACGAAGGATGTAAATTCGATTTGGAGACTCGCACTCCCATTGTCGACATATAGTACTCCGTCCGTGTATATGCCGCGTGTGTACGTTTACCCGAGTACAATATTTACGTGTCGCCGGGGTCTTTGAGCGAACAGTACAATAGTCCAAAGGATTGACCGCAACGCGAATAAACCCATTCGCGCCTCCAACCAGAATTAATTTGTCCTATAATGTCCGCTAGACGTGTCGCATAATTCATTCGGACCTTGCGGCTCGGTTGATCGCTTTAGCCACTTATTTCGAATGAAGGAAGTTGTATATGTAAGATCCGTTTTCAAAAGTAAACCGAAGAAAAATCAAACTGTTCTGGAAAGATTCTGGAACCCTCAATGTGATTCTCATATGTATGTATATTAAAATAAAATTTGATAATAAAATGCTAATAAAGTGATAATAAAATGAATCTTGGGGCTCGGTTGGATCCGTTTTGAAAAGTAAACCAAATAAAAATCGAACCGTTTTGGAAAGATTCTGGAACCAAATGTGATTCTTATGTATATTAAATTAAAATTTGATAATAAAATGCTAATTTAATTTAATAAGTTTTTTTATTGAATTATATTAGTATTAGAAACTGGGTCAATATTTGAAATTTAACAGATTTCTCTTAATAAAGTTGGAGTCGGCTTTTCTTTCATGATTATGTCGAAGACGATCAATATTTAGCACAACTTTCCAATGTTTTATATATATACTACATGTCTTTATACTAAGTACTTAGAAAGAAACTTGTCTTAGTTCTCTTTTACTTCAAAACTTATCCTATTAATTCTCTTGGACGCTAGAAAGCAATTACTTTTATGCCCACTGTACTTTCTCTGGGACGTGAGATCTTAACGAGACACTCTTAACTTTAATTGGAATCGTCTATCACTCATATTTACCCCTATCCTTCTATATATATATATATATATATATATATATTGCTAGAAAAATATTGTTTCTACGTTAAAGAAAAATAGCGCAATAATATTATATTATTTGTGGGAGATGTTGCGTCTCGAATTTGACGAAATAAAAATAAATTAATTAGCTATAATCTATTACAGCAATACCTAGTTATATAACGTAAACAGTAATAGTAATTATATCTTAATTAGAATCGGGCAAACGTCACTTTTTGCTACTCCAAATAAAAGGCATTATTGAATGTAAATTCGCCAGCTCGTTCACTGTCGGCTCGTATTCGACGAGATCTCTCGTTGCTTGTTTTGCACAGTGTCATTTTACATCGCATTAACGGGAAAATAACAGAGGGGAGTAATGAAGAGAGAGAGAACTCCGGCGCAGATTTTTTGCGATCGTTTTTCTTCACCGCGCCTTAATGGAAGATGTCGGACGCGCGCGCAAGATTATTTGCCAAACAGTCTCGAAGAGCAGGAATCTTATCGGCGTTTCTGGAGTAACACTTCGTTACTTTTGTATAATGGCTCGTGTATTCTTATTCGCCTTTATTTCATCATTTATTTAATTATTCTTCTCATCCTTCTCTTCATTAATTTTACTTGAGCCAGAACCTAGCTCTCTTTCTCTCTCATCGTTTGCTTATAAGCTCTATCGTGCTAATCAATTTGTAATGCTATTATTTAAAATTAGAGCCATAAAACTGGAGAATCTTATTTCACATTAATTGGAAATTAATTTTTTCGTATTTATAGCAAGAAGATATTGTTCAATTCTAAACGTTCCTTAAATAATAGTGGATATTATGTAAATTATACGAAAGCAGAGGAAATCGTGTTGATTCAAAAAACAAATCGCAGTTTAGATTTTCTATGGAAAGAAAATTGTCTGCGGATACGCGATAAAACCTTTCTCGCCGGGAATTATTCCCAGTTAAACAGATTTGCAAGGTGACAGGAGTGAAACAGGAGTTTGTTCTGCTCGGATTTTGCGCCCCTTATCATGTCACGCTTCGTTACTATCTAGCAAAAGTGGATGAGCCGTAATCTCGCGCTGCAAGAAAACGAGACTAGCCCCGTTGCAGTATCTTTGACATTGCAGGTATCATAGTGCGCGAAGATAATGTCAGGGTGTCCCATCTCTTCGTGAAACTTATTTATTTTTTTCCTCGCGTTTCTGACGAGATTCGCCCCTTGAATTCATCAGCACCGAATCAGCGTTAATTTTCAACGATATTTCTATATTACACATTTGACAAAAGAATATTATGAAAAAGATAAGTAAAAAGGATCGCACTACAAGACTTGCAGGTATCATAGTGCGCGAAGATAATGTCAGGGTGTCCCATCTCTTCGTGAAACTTATTTATTTTTTTCCTCGCGTTTCTGACGAGATTCGCCCCTTGAATTCATCAGCACCGAATCAGCGTTAATTTTCAACGATATTTCTATATTACACATTTGACAAAAGAATATTATGAAAAAGATAAGTAAAAAGGATCGCACTACGAGACTTGAGGATAGAATTTCAATAGTTTTTTTTTTTGTATAAAAACTGGAAAAAATCTCCATGGAACTTTATTATAATATTTTCACTGAAATCGAATCTAAGGAACCGAGTCTTTGAAAATAATAAACTTTTATTTCTTATATCTCATTCACCAGTCTCTTTTTGCTTCTCATGAATATCGTACGTTATATGCGCCTCATTAGACAGGAAATTCTACCCGACTGCGACGGAATCCTTCTCGTACTGTAAACGTCATTACAGCCACAGGTGGTACTGACATGAATGTTCATTATTATTTTCCAAGCAGAAATATCATTTTACTGTAAATACGCGCAACATTATTACAAATACAAGAGTATTATATATTCATATGTTTATATCTCTAATTACTCATATAATAATTATATAAATATTATTAAATATTAAAGTACGCAACAATAGTATATAGAAATTTTTCAAAGTTCTGAAAAAGTTGAAATGAATACGAAAACTTGAAGAATCTCCGTATGTATATTTGACATATTTGTAAAGAAATGAATTCTCACGGCGATTTATGCACAATCTCTCTCCCGTTGACGTTCCAGGCGTCATCAGTGGCGGTGTGAGACATCGTCTGAGCGTCGGCTCCGCGTCCGCCCTGAGCTGCGGAGGCGAGAAATATATTAGGGGCGGAAGGACCGGCGACGGCCGAGCCGGAGGTGGCGGCAGGGAGAAAGAGGATGACACCAAGAGCGCGGAGAACGTGTCCAGGGGAGTTTTACCCTCGAGGCAGAGCCTCTTGGACCTCGTCAGCGGTAAATTCATGGGCCGACACACACCCACCCACCACTACTACCATCAGCAGCAGCAGCAGGTTGGTTACCGCCCGTGATCTCGCGCGGCTAAAATATTCCTCACGCTATCGCACACTCGCCCGCAGGAAATATCGTGGAGAGGACACTTTGCGCGCGCGCGCATTCATCGAGCGCTCGATATCGGACCGCGAATATCTTTCTTCTCCCGCCATCCGATTTTTAGCGAATAATTTCGCAATTCCGTCTCTACGTCGAGAGAATCGCAGGATTTGACTGAAAAAGAACGAAATATATATTTCTTCTACTGCTTGTCACGTCTCGCTTGCCATACTTCAACTTTTTCTTTTGTTCGAAAAAATACAGAATTCCATTTTTAACATGTTTCTAAATAATGTGATTATATTATTTTCTTTCTCAAGAAAATTTCTTAACATTTTTTAATTATAGAATTTCAAGAAAATATTAAAAATCATTACCGAAGAATTCAGTTTTATAATTTAACAAATAAATTCTACAATATAAATGCATAGGTATACTTAAATATCGCGTCTCTTAAAAACGATTTTTCTGAAAGAATGCAATGACTGCGGACAAAATTGCGTTTGTTGTTATATATCCGACGAAAAACGAGAAAGAATAGAGGAACGGTGAAGGAATGAGAAAATAGAGGACAAATTTTTCCAACTTAGGCTTTATCAGCCAAATATTTCAGTCGAGATTATGACAGCGAAATATACGTGTACTGTATTTATTTTCGCAAAAATTATACACGTATTCGGGTTTGTCGCGACGGGCACGTTTAATTCGACGCGAGCTATTCGACGTGAAAAAACAAAATCTGCGAGAACAATTTCGCGAACGGATAACAACGTTCGCTCCGTCTAGTATGCGTGACAACCGCATGGCAGCCATACCTCGATGTCCGGTCCGGATGTTGTATGAATAAACTGGTGCGGAAAATATATACGCTACGAGAATCTCCGTGAAATATGAAAAACAACCGGAACGATTACACAAGCTCACATGTACAACCAAAATATAGATATTTATGTGTTAATCAACTGACATTATTGACTGTTTTTCAATGACACGAAAAACAGCAATTTTTAATCAAATTACTTATATGAGAAGGACAATTTATAATATTTATGGTTAATCTTGATCAATCTATAAAGGGGAGCTCTCTAGGCTTATTTTCTACATTCGTATACAATATATATCTATGTCGCATATTTATATAGTATATATCACACTGTGTATCTGTGTACCTATAAAAGACAGAAAGAAAAATCTACGTGGAGATCGCATGTAGCATTTTTATGCGCGCACCATCTGTATCTATGAGATAACGGCTTGACGCTTCGTGCATCCTAATTGGTGCAGGTATATTCTGTGTCACAGCGATACTTCAGTTCGTCACGTGACTCGCTTCAGGGAGGATACGTGAACCGGGGTGCGAGCGAGCTCGATCTGAGCCGCAAGTCGAGAAGAAGGGACCACCTGAGGGGCAGATTCAAACTGCCGTATACAGTTGCGCTCACCGCAACGCCTTCGCGTGACCAATCGCACCTGCACACACCGGCGTCGGTCAATCATCTCAGCAACAGCAGCTGCAACGGCACCGAAACGTGAGTACTTCATTGCCGAGCAATCGCCGAACAGTCGATTGAGAATATTTCAATTATCGTACGATATCAATTTTCGTTATACATATATATATAGCCCTCGCAATGCGGCCATTCTTTTCCGTACCTCGATATCGAAGGATATTCGCAGAAAAATTCAATTTGATGCTAATTCCTCTCTTTATGGGAGAGACCATTTCCACGATGAAAATTCAAGAAAATGAATATAACGAAGAAATCTGCGTAGAGTAAAGGGTCATAAATATTCAAGCGACTTCTTGGAGTTGATACCATCGGGCGGCGCTCTCTGCGTTTTGTTAAAGAGCGCTTAATTGTAGCGCTAGGATTTTCTTTAATTGGAAATATCTCCAGGGGTTGTACACACAGAGAGTCATCGAGAGCATTGCAAAATTGCAAGAATTGTTTTTCTATAAACAATAGAAATTTTTTTTTTTTTAATTTGACGAAACCAAAACCGCGCGGTGTATACAAATTTCTACGCACTTTTTTTCGATTGCCTCGACACTGTCAACATGGTATATTTTTACATTGATACTGCGAATTTCGCAGTGCAGTGTAAATAGTAACGAAAAAAATGGACAGCCATGTCCGCGCACGACACAAGCACGACATCAGTCCAAGGACGAAAGCAATTAATCAGGGCATGTTCGCTGAATTATTGTCTCAGAAGGTACACGGCGCAGCAACAGCAACAACAACGTGGTAGTAGAGGCTATCCCGGGCAACCTGGATCGAGGAATTTTCGCACGGGCGCGCCAAACTGGTCCTTCATCTTCGATCCTGCGGGACGCCTCTGTTACTATTGGTCGATGGTGGTTTCCCTTGCCTTTCTTTACAACTTCTGGGTGATCATCTATAGATTTGCCTTCCAGGAGATCAATGGTTAGTTCATGCGCGCTTATGATTGATATCGATTTCATAGGAGCATTTTATATTTTATCAGGATAAAATGCGAATCGAGGGTTCAAACGGTACATTAATATATCTTTTTGCAAAATTAATTGGATTATAAAAATGAGACAGATTTTAGAGAGATTTAATTTTTATATTGATTATTTGACACTTTGCTAAGCGTTTCTGAATTTCAATTAATTTTAATAGAAAATAAAAAATGTAAAATCTAAGTTTAAAATATATTATATATATATATATTCTTCTATGAAAAGCTGCAAGTATAAAATTATTAAATTACGATGTAATTATTAAATTACGTTGTAATATTCGCGCTTTGATTTATTCATATAAAAGCATTTTTAAGTGATGAATAGCTTTTAATATGTAATATTTAACATATCCGAGAGTTTTGAGCAATTTTATCAAATGAATTAAATTTTTGTTAAAACACAATTTTAACGAAAATTTTAATTGTTCCTTTAATTGAACGTCAAAGCAAGCACTTAGCCATAATTTATGAAACAATACATAAATAAAAATGCGCAAATTAAATACATAATAAAAGCACCGCTGAAATATTTCGCATCTATGCAGAATATTATAGAAGCCGTCTTTTTTCAATCACTAGTATAAAAGCTTACTAAAAATAGTGGCAACCAATAGCTGATAATTAATTACAAGCGATTGAAAATAAAAATATTTGCGATTTCGAAAATGTATGCAATTTATAAGAGAGAAAGACAGTTCGTAATGGATATTTTCATAATTCTCTCTCTCTTTCTCTCTCTCTCTCTTTCTTGAAAAAGAAATGATCAAAACTGTTTTAAATTAAAAATTAATTACAAAATATGTATGTTGTTTATAATGAAATGGGCATTCTTTTGCTTGCGAATACAGGAGACACTCGTTGGGTGTGGTTTTGCCTGGACTACTTCTCGGATTTTTTATACGTGCTCGACATAATATTTCACATTCGAACGGGATACTTGGAAGACGGTGTGCTGCAAACCGACGCCACGAAATTGAGAAACCATTACACGAACAGCACCACGTTTTACATAGACATCCTGTGCCTGCTGCCCCTCGACTTTTTATACTTATCTATAGGATTTAACAGTATGCTGCGAAGTTTTAGACTCGTAAAAATTTACCGGTAATTATCATTCAATCCTTTATCTTTTATCATTATTTTTTTAATTATTCTAGCTCTTCAATTAAATAAAATGATAAATTTAAATGGCAAGTTTATCATTTTATACTATTTTTTATTAATGATATTTATTTATACATAATATATTATATTCTTTTATAACATAATTATAAATTTTATGTATGATGCATGATATTTGACAAAAAATTGATTTTTCATACTTGACGGAATTAAATGGAGCGCAACGAATTGGAACATTTCTTAAAAACTGAATCTTTTATATCATAAGACATTTTTAACGATTAAGATATATTGATTGGTGAAAATCGAGTACAGTCATTACTGCGAATTTCTTGCCTCATCTCGACCATCGTAAATTGATTTCGGATATATAAGTAGTTCAGATTTCTTCGAGAAATATCGGAAATTGTTTGAAGTCGAGATTGAAAAGGATTGCAAAAGTTCGTTTAAGATCACAATAACATTGTGCTGATTTCTTTCGCACGTGAATGTTTACATTCCAATACAAACATTGGCGATCTAGAAATACCGCAAAAAAAATACACGACGAATAAATGTTGTGTCTCAATGTTATCCTTTCTCAGTAGCAACAGCACGTTAGAGAGAAGCATGGCTTTTCTTGTATCTCCGACGAATCGATGACTTATGGTCGAACAATGTTCCGTAAAATCTGATTTCGTCGAAGAACAATGACTCACCAGTCGGACCGTCCATGTTCTCATTTATTCCTAAATGTCCATGTCTCATTCTCATTTAACGTTGACATTGGACGCGATATGTGTATTAAGCAAACGGAACTCGGAATTGGATAACCGTATTTAGTGATAAATGGTGGCAGTGAGAACATGGACCGCGTAGTATGAACGAAGAGTAATGATAGCGTGGAAAGAAAGAAAAAACCACGGAAAGATCGAAGATTTAATATTTTTATATTTCTCCTTCTTTAATAATAAAAATTCCACTTTCGATAATTTCGCAAAACTCAATCTTTATCAAGTATTGAGAGAACAATCGGGTTAAGAAATCGTCGAGTTAAAATAAAATTTAAAATAGTAAAATTTTTGCAATTTTTTCGCTCTAGTGTTTTTCCCTCTTTCAGCGTTCATCTTTCACAGTTTATACTATAAATCATTGATTGCAATCGTTTCAATCGCTGCAGCACGTTATATCATAAATTGTGAAATCGCGCGTCAATACGGATGAAAAGTCGCCGCACTCGAAAATAATAAATAAAAAAAGGAAGCGACAGGGGTACATATTTTAACCTGTTGATGACTGGATTCTTCGTCATATGTGCGAAGATTAAAAAAAAAAAAAAAAAAACAAACAAACATTCATTGCGCTTCACGTGATTCTCGCCGCGAAACGTTCTAAAAGGAATTTTGAAATTTATGGCGCTCCGACCGCATCGGAATTTTCAGCAATTTTCTCGACTCGCTTTCTCTGTCTCTGACGCAGGTTCTGGGCGTTCATGGACAGGACCGAGCGACACACAAACTACCCGAATTTGTTTCGCTCCACCTCCTTGATACATTATTTACTGGTGATCTTTCACTGGAACGGATGCCTCTATCACATTATTCATAAGAACAACGGCTTCGGCAGTAAGAACTGGGTATTCAGCGACTCCGAGACGGCGGACGTTGTCAAGCAATATCTGCAGAGCTACTACTGGTGTACTCTTGCCCTAACGACCATCGGTGATCTGCCCAAGTATTTATTTATTTATTTACGCGCCCATGTTATATATGCATGCACAGGATGTATATAAGCTTGCATGAGAATTTATTTTACATCGTTCATAGAATCAGATCAATTTTTCTCGTTGCATGAAGAAAATCTCAAAAATGATATTTGCATATGCAAACTTATTTGATTCATTTAGGTAAATTTTATTCATAGCGTTCTACGTTTCTATACAACAAAATTTATTTAACTTTGTCAATTACGTATAAAATAAAATATATGTAACATGATATATGTCAAATCTGTTTTGCGCCAGACACAAAGGAAATGAAAACAAGGAAAATTGTGTTATGTTTGCCATCGAAAAATATATTATATACATCAGCAATTTGACATGATAATCCCTCATCGCCTTTTATTTTAGAATATTTTTTTCAAAAAACATTGCACGAAAGCTACGCGAGTAACTTTTACGCTATTATGATATACATTATACTCAAATCGATATGAATATGGATTGCAATAAAAACGTATACAAAGTACCACACGCAGCTCCGAGACTATTAAAATAACAATTGTTTTTATTTTTTTTTTATATCGTTTGTGCTCCTAGTGCACGATGGTCCGAGATCATTAACTAAACATAACATTTTGCACGTATTCTCGCATTCACGTAATCACGTTCCAAATTTAATTTTTAATAAAAAAGAGAGACAAATCGTCGCTGTTCTGTTATAATGCTGCAATATCTACACCTCGTAAAGTGCGTTACTTTTTTGCAACAAAAATCGATGACAATACGTGTTCGACATATCCAAATCTAACCACCGAAAATAAAAAAAAATATCCAACTCAAATTGCCAGAAAAACAAACAGATAATCGAATTGATGTATTTTTGGTAGCATTTAGATTTTGCGATGCAACATCGAAAATATATCACGATTACTATCACGATTCTCTTTAATAACGTTTATTTTAACTTTGCGTATATACGCTGTTTCTGAATTTGTTATATTTTAAGTTTAAAAGTCACAAAATATTTTGCATCGATATTTATTAGTGCAACATGAAAATTCAAAATCATTATCTCGCATTAGTTGATTGGAATTAAACAAGGATATCGCATAAACGGGAAACCAAAAAGCATCGACAGATACGTTGCGAGCAAATATAAATCGTTATTTTTGTTGGCACTTAAAATAGAGGAATTCATAAAAGGGAAAGAAAATATTGGCGACATTTCAATGTATTTATTGGACAAAGAATTTCCGTTCGCAAGTATATTTTCATTCCCTACTTGATTCGAAACGACAACGCCTACGGTGAATAAATAATTAATGAAGGTACAAAGTGCCATTTTATTGTATTGCTAGAGAAACTGTTATTTCTATTCTATTCTACGCTCATAGTATGTCTTTCAAAATATTTGCGTAAAATGGTCACTTTACCTTTGAAAGGTAAAGGTTTGCGTGAAAAGCGGAAAGTCATTAATAGAATATTTTCTCCTGTTTTCCTTTTCAGACCGAGAAGTAAGGGCGAATACCTCTTTGTGATTTGTCAGCTGTTCTTCGGTCTGCTGTTATTCGCAACGGTGCTGGGTCACGTCGCAAACATCGTCACTTCCGTCAGCGCGGCGCGGAAGGAGTTTCAGGGTGAGTCAAGTTCAAATTCCTCGCATGCACTTCCTTTACATTAGCTTGCCGGTCGTACTTCAACTTTCCGAGTGAAATTTATTCGACGAAAGCAAAGTAACATCGGCCCCATCGTTTCTCCTTTATTTTTTTTTGTGTGTCACAAGCAGCGTCGAATTTTATTACGACGCGTTCGAATTCTGATCGTATTTTATGAAATTTTACTCCGATTCAAGCAAGCAAAAAAAAAAAAAAAGAAAAAAGAACTCACGAAGATATTCATCTCCTGGTTCGTGACTGTAAATAATTCGGCACACGTGATACGCTTTACGGCGCGCGAAACGAGATTTATGATTTTCATTCGACGCGTAAAACAAGTCACACGACAGTTTGCTAAGTTCATATGCTACGTTTGCACGACGGCAGCAGTTACTCAACCAAAGTGCTCGAATAAGGTGAATCAGAGCGCAAAGTATCACTGGTATTAGCACGTGTGTTAATCCAGTTTCTATATTTCCAAAGTTTACGAGCTAACTTGACACAACAGATACGGCAAGGAGGAATTATACGAATATGAGTAAACAATATCTATGTCATTGTGTTAAATATAAATGAAGAGATATAAGTTTGAAATTCGCGTGGAAATAATTTACTCGATGCATTTACATATATAATACATAAATACATACCATTAAAAAAATATGCATCTTTTGGCACAAATGTGAAACAATAACGGTAAGTAATTCAAGTTTTTGCGCGACTGAATAAGTTTTTACAATAGATTATGCATTTTGTGTCTCTCGAAATATACGGTAATATATGGTTTTATCCCTTCGGCGCACGTTCCAAGTCGCTCGCGGATTATATTGACTTGGCAAACCGCCATCCCGAAGTGAAGGTCCGCGGCTCTTGTCCTTTCCGTCGCGCGAAGGGCCACGATAAATAACTGCATTTTCAATTAACGCCGAGCAGGAAATGGACACTTCGTTCCGCGTCCGAGATCCGTTTTAATTACGCCGCATCGTAGTTTCGCCGCGTTCGCATTCCCTTACACACCTTCGTTATTTCACGATTCACCGGACCGCTCTCTACGCGCTCTCTTTCCGCAAAATGCACGATTCGGTGGTACGTTTTTGGCACAAAAAGCGAGCGCGCGATCGGCGTAATGATCATTTTAATCCGGGTACTCGCATTTTCGTGTCTTTTAACATGTCGACGTTTTTTTTCGCTCTTTCTCTTCCACATATATTTTTTGCATAGAAATCTTTCTTAAATAATGCGCAACAGTGGATCGCGCAATTTCTGTTCAAACATATGTTAACGTAATAATTAATTCATATAAACTTACAAAATAATTACCGCAATAGAATTGTTTATTACTGCAATACTATTTTTTACATGTTATTACGTGTATTAAATTTTATTACATATATTTGTTTTATTGTTGTAATTATTTTCTTATATAATAATCTATAAATTAAAGTAGAGCAAGAAAAGAATTACCTCTAGATTAATGATTGATTTACATAAATCGATCATAATATTATTCGCAACGAAAAGCGATTCAATCGATTGAATGCGGAATTTCCGAGCTTAGCTGACATATGCAGTTAGTGTATAAATGGCATTCGCAAGGTTAACGTTAATCGAATTCAAGCGAGTACTCCTGGATTAACGCGACTTTCGTTCCGCTAAAGCGCAACGCATCCTGTTACAACAATAACCGTCGACGCTTGTAGCTTCCCTTGGCATTGTGTCGCCAGAACGTGAAAGATATAACCGAGAGATCCTTTCATTGTACAAGTGAGCTTCTCGCGGCATTCGATTACCGTAAAGTATATAAAATATTTAAAATATTTTGCAATATTATTTTATGGCTTTATATCTGCTCCTACCTGTTTGAAAAAAAAAATAAACGTCTACCTGAATTTTTCATCCTCAAATAAGACATTTGATAAAATTGAATTTCACTTAACAGGCAAATATATATTTTATTATTTTATTGATGCACTTCATACTTTTTTTCTAATAGAATCAGTGTTTAAACACGCATAGAAAGGACGCGTTACATGTATAATGTCTCGATAGCAAAAGATAAAAAACGTGAAGATAGCATTTGTCACAATTACGGCTTCTACCTCACCGATTAAGATCCTCTTTAAAGGGTTTGTAAATCCCTTGACCCTCGTAGAGCAAGGAAATCCTGACAGGATCGATGTTTAATAACGGTCTCGGGATTCGTTGAAGAGGCAGAGCGCGCCCTCGCGTTATCTCCATATTTATGGAAAATTTACTTGACATAATAATGTGAGAATGTGGTGAAAATTTACGATTTGAAAAAATCACACACACGTTAATTTTAATTCCAATATTTATTTCATTTCAATCGATTCATATCGATATTAAATAATAGCCTTGAAACGAAAAGTTCTACTGTCATAAAAGTAAATGCATATACATATGTATATATAAAATCTAATTGCATCGTATGTCATGATTCCTTATCTCTTAATATTACAAAATTTAATGGAAACGTCAATCAACGTTTTATAAAGAAAAATTTAAATATTTCTATACGAGAGAAAACTAAATTGCATTTTCATTGTACTCTCAATTCTTATGACGACAAAGTGAATAAAATGCCGCGAAACGATAACAATTTGCAAAGAATTGTATACTCAATAAATTATCTGTCTATCAATAAATATTATTATTACTTATTGCAACGTTGTTTATTACTGCAACGTCAATAACGCATGATTGCATTACAAACAAGTGAAAACAAACAAAAGGAAAATAACTTTCTGTGATCATTGTTTCTAAATATGTAGAAGAGATCTCATTTTATTATTAAAAGCACTTAATGAAAATTGCAATCATAAACATACGTTTGATATCTTTAAACAGTGATTACTTAACACATAAATTTAATTTAACTTATTACGATGTGAGATCTGCGTGTATAACTTGACCTATTTACTTCGCTGATAAGATATATCAATATTGATTAACTTCGGTGTGATTTCGATACGAAATACATTAATTTAATAATTTTGCGAGAGATTTATGGAATGTCTGTTGATTTTCGGCTGATAAGTAATCATTATTTTGCTTCTCTAATTTTTATATGCGCTGGAATTTATTTGATATAAAATTTCGTTTTATCAAATTAACATTTCTATTAAACGAATAATTTTTCAGTCCCATGCTTATACGATAATTTTATTCTCTTTAATTATCTCGTACAAAGTAAGCCGTTAAATTCAGAAAAAAGAGGAATATTAAAAAGTTTTTAAAAAAAGGAGGAATATCCGTAAAATTAATATTTTTAAAACTTTAAATTTATGTTAAGTCAAATTGATTAATATAATTAATCGTATGATATTAAATTTACTGAGGTAATTATATATTAATCTAGCAATTTTTTCATATATGTATATATGAATTCCTTAAGAGAGAGAAAGTTACTTATATCTGAATAAAAGATCGTAAAAGTTTTCTGGTACATCAGAAACAACATTACAGAAATAATAAAGTAATGGAAATGTTACGATATAAGAGTTTAAGAAACCACTTTTACGAGTTCGATCGGTGCATTGAAACATGAAAAAAGAAACTGCAATTGAATTTCAAAAGAGGAGGATTTGACATGAATTTTACGACAAGTAACCATTAAAGCAAATAAAATGATATTATCATTATGAAATCTTCTTACGTATATCTTCTCGCTACGTATCCTACTGTAAATTACTTTAAACTCGTTGCACTCCAGGGGAAGGATTTTTATTTACGATGTAAAACAAAATAGCAAAATGGGAATTAATATTATAAATTACATTTATAGTATTAATCCCCACAGGACTCGTAGAAATATAAAATACAGAACGATGGGACGGTAATGACCTCCGGCGCTCTTTACTTTTACAATTTTCCCCGCGGAATTAAACTGCTTCCGGCGGGAACGTCGGTGATTAAATATGAAACGGAATAGAATTTCTTCTAATTCCGCGCACTCGCGTTCGCCTTCAGCTACACGATATCTCGTTATGTGCAACACGAAATCGTTATTGCCCTGGTGTATTTACTGTGTAACAATAGTGAATTTATCAGATTTCTTATGGAATAGAACCAAGAAAATTGTTCGTAAGAAAATTAGGAAACATATGAGCAATGCAAGATAAAAATGTAATACATTTATGTGATAAACTACCTCGTCAAAGTGGCTATAAAAAGACAGGTGCGTAAAAAATTAAATTAACTAATTTTTGCTATACATAGTAGCATACATCAAAAAAATTATTAAATTCGAATAAGTATTTATTTCAATACTGCCAAATAAATCATTGATTTGAAACTAATAATATTGATTTGATGTGAAAAATATTTGATATAAGAAAATCTTTTTCAAAACAGATAAATATTCATCCGTTTCGAATAAATGATTTATTAGGCAGTATTGAAATAAATATGTATTAATTTAATATTTTTGTTGTTCAGTATAGTCATATTTTTCATGAAGGAAGATTTAATAGGTAATGCTTCGCGAATGAGAAAGTTGGTAAAAAATAATTCGTCAAGCTCTATTTTCAACGCTGTCGTATAAATGCGCTGTCACCGATTTATCTCTGAAAGCACGGCGCTACGTTTATTCGAAAAGTTTTCTAATTTGCCAGACTTACGACATAATGTGTTCGCCATGCTTCTCTTTACAATTGGCCATCATTAAGTGGTTATAGGTACGTCGGTGCGAGTTCGCAGGAGTTTACAAGCGACGATTTAGATACTGCCCGCACGAATATTGTCCATCCCTATCTATATATATATATGGACTATCGGCGCAAAACTCTCATCGTGATTTTAGCCGCCCGTGTCGCCATGTCCATGAAGTTCACTTTTAATTGCCCGTCGTTAAATAGTTCATTAGCGTGTTACGCGCTGAGAGTTAATTGAAAATAACGATGCATGGCGAACCCTCGTTAACACGAGCATAGACGGTCATCTAAAAGGACCGTGTTTAAAAC